CGTCCCATACAAGAGGACGACCCTGCTTCCAAGGTATAATTGACAATAAATATAAAAGAAAACAATGTTATACTCGGCGCCTCCACCATATGGTGATTCTTCTCCTATGGAGAATCTTTGGGCAGCGCAACGTCGGATGATAGGAACGATCTTGCACAGTAACATAGGGATTCACAGTACCATAGAAAATCGGTAGGTGCAATATTGAAAATACGAAAAGTTTTGTTTTGTCTCAAGAAAGTTTTGCATAAAGTTAAATATATTGTTTAACTTTATTTTAAGTTCGTGTAGTAACGTGAGAAGCATCTCGACGCGGCCATCAGGGCCTCGGTAGCATAATTGGTCAGTTCATTCGCCCGGATAGCGAAGGCTGCGGGTTCCGAGTCCCGTCTGCTGCCTGGTCCGCGTGGATTTTTTTCTAGTTATATTTTCTTTAGATTTCAACATCAAGCAGTTTTATGCCTAAAAAAAATAAAATTATAGCGTGAGATAAGTCGTAGTTGGTAAACCATGTAAGCATTTACTGAGATTTGAAATTGATGATAAAATTAATACAAGGCTCATGGAAGAGCCTGAAGTATCAGAAAATTTTCATTTATTCATAATGGAAAATACTTATTACAACAACTACTGTAAAGCATATCACAATGTAGTAATCAACAATTTCTGTAATATACCTGTTTTTAACCCCAAACAATTTTCTGGTACTTAATGGAACAAAGTTCCTTTTTGGACGGTATGACGGATGGGGACTAGACAAAAAGAAGAAGTTAAGAATAAGTTTAGCTTATTTCGAAACAAAAAGAATTCATTGAGATTTGTCTCATATAGATAGGTATGAATACACCTTCAACATAGCCCGTGTTTCCTTGTGTTGTACTAAACGGTCTCAAACAAAGACCTCAATGATGTATCCCACGATTAATTACAATGAATATTCTGTACACGCGCCATGTATGAATATACAAAGTACAATTCAGAACTCCATATCAGATATCGCCTCCTAGAATGAGGTTCTAATGTTTTGTTTGGTAACAACTCCTTATTTATTGCTAATCCGAGTCTGTAAATGAAAAATATTATAACTAGTAACAAACAACTTGGTATTGTTAATACTTGGGTATTGTAACTAGTGATAAACTAGATGATGGCCTGCCTGTTGGTAAGCTGGCTGCTTACCATAGCCAATAGACGCTTGCGATACCAAAAATATCTTTTGAGCCGTTGTCTACCCTGACCCAGTCCCCTATCCCGTGGAGCCTTGTAACCTTACTCACCGACAGAAACACAACACCATCAAAAGTAGTAGGTAGGTAGGTAGTGTTATTTATTCTACTTTTGTCTTCTGTAAGGTTACATTCCCAGACGGGCGCTTAAATTCTAGCGGATTATCCGCTATTGTCTCTTAAAGAACTAGCGACCTATGCACAGGTGAAATTTATTTTATCACGATAAAAAATTGCTTATGTCACTCAGGAATAATGTGTCTTTCAACTGGTGAATAAAGGATCTCTATAATTGTTCCGGAGATTACTTTATACAAACAAACTTTAACCCTTTATAATATCGAAAGAAAAGTTTACTAGATAAAAAGTTTACTAGAAAAAAATCCACTCGGACCAGGCAGCGGACGGGACTCGAACCCGCACCCTTCGCAATCCGGACTTTTCTTTAGATTTAAAACATCTAGCAGTTAAATGCTTAAAAATAAATAAAAACATAACCTTTATAATATGTTATAATGTACTACGTAATAGTACGACCAGCCAATTTGATTCCTGACCCCCCATAAGCTTATTTTTTACAACTATTACAAAACAATAAGGTAGAAATTCGCTTGAATGTATGTATTCCTCGAAACAAAGTTGTTATTTTCAGAACATTGAAATGACAGATTTTCCCTCAGGCCGACAGCCGCCTCCCTGTGACATAATGCTGACGTTAGTTATTTGGATTTTTGACCATAGAATAAGGATTTCCTTTTATTTTACCATAATTTTTATTAATGTCAAGAAATCGAGAAAGTTTCTATTGTTTTACGATTTTAAAATTTATTTCTAAACTGACTGTGCCCCGCGGTGTTGCCGTCGGTTTATAGGGATATTTTCCCGCAGTAAACCGTTATTGTTATAGCCTATGTGTAAATCCAGAGTGTCAGCTGACTCCATACCAAATTTTATTAAAATCGAGCTGCTCCAGCCGTTTAAACGCGAAGAAGTAACAAACATATACACTCACAAACTTTCGCCTTTATAACATTAGTGTGATACAAACTACAATTCGAATTTTATCTAAAAGATGACCCTTTGCATGCCTTCTGCATTGAAAACAAAGGTATAATTTCAAAGTTCTTTAATCATCATTAATACAGTTGCTTGTAATTAGAAGGTTCAAAGTGCAATTACGCATTCTCTAGAAGAAAACTTATCTGTTTTGACATTTTGAAGCAAATTATCGGTCAAGAGGGTCAGGAATCAGATTGTTCGATCGTACATGTTGATAAGTTTCTACGAAGCTATTATGTGTAATATATTTAAATTAATATCAAAAATCATGCGTAACAATTTTTAATACTTCAGTTATTTTATATACAGGTCAAATGTATTTTAAATCGTGTGCGAAATTCAGTTTGTCAGTGTTTACATAAGATTAATGTTGAAATAATGAACCCTGACATTCTGGCTTGAAACCTTTATCACTTACTCCCAATAATAACTAAGTAGGTCGATATGATTATGTGATGTGCAAAAGTTAGTGTGCAACTGTGAAAATATTGCTAAAAGTTTAGTTTTATGGATATCGTTTTGGTCTAACGTCATTTACATGAACACACTTAGCTTTGATAAATTACGTAAGTATAGTTTTTAAATGTTGGCACTTCGTGTTGCCATATATTTCGTTATTGCAGCATCAAATTAATTGGGCATAAACAGTATTTTACAATTATTGAATATTAATGAAGGTTAACTTGGAGACATCTGCTGATTCACAATTTTGCGTGTATGTTAAAAAACATATATTTTGTACACCAGCATCTGTTTTTCTCTTGTCATGTTATGTTAAGAGGTCCGCACACCAGACATACAATTGCATTACGATAATTGTGGCGCCACATTTAAAACGCCGCACATTTAACGCCCCCATATATATGCGTGTAAGCACGCACACCAAGGACCACACAGGCTACAAACACCAACACTACACAGTTAGCATAGTTGCACACTAGCTTATCACTAGGCAGACACCGCACCCGTAGGATAAGAGTGCGAAGACCCGGTCTACACACGACACGCTATACCAGGGACAGGTACATACCTGGGCTTATTTCCCCATCCTCCCACGACAACGGCTAACTAGAGCCGAGGTCCGAGTCTCAGAGACGCCCTCAAGTTGAGCTGACCCCCTCAGGTTTGAGTGGTCTAGAGGCTCCAGACAGAACGAAGACTCCCCCCCGTGGGGAGATGCCATCTGCCTGGAATTCCTCTAGAGGCACTCGCCAATTCTCGGCTTGAGGTCCCCTTAGGATCTCGCCGTCCCCAAACCCGGTGACGCTGTAAAGGTCATCTGCGACCAACAGCATACTTACTCTAAACAAACCCCAAGGACACATTTGTAGTGAGAAGAAAACAAAAATGTAGCGTGCATATTATGGCAAGGTAAATGTTACGTGCATGTACCCTGTGGATCCGGTGTGTGGCCTCCCTAAAGGTTTCTTAATGGTAGCTATATTAAATGACCTATATTTATAATATTTATGTCAAATAATATTTATCAGCGAGTGACTGTGACTTCACCTGTGTAGTACCTCTGATTTTTCCACGTACTAATTCTTCATAACTTTTAATTTTATTCTATAAATGGTTTTCGAAACTAAGTACTTTTCAATAAAAGTAGGTCACAGCGTAATTTGCACTCGAATTGGAGCACATGTCTGTGGAAGTAACCGAAACCTTACAGAAGATCATAGTAAAATAACACTGCCTTGAGGTGTGTTTGCCGTGTTTGACGACCTCCGTGGCCGAGTGGTTTGTACGGCGGGTTTCATGGTGTCGCCGACTCGAGAGGTCCTGTGTTCGAATCCCGGTGGGGGCAGATGTTTGTGTGATGAATACGAGCATTTGTACGCCAGTCAATGGATGTTTAATACGTATCTCTATTTAAATATGCTTATATTATGTACAGTATATGTATTCTATCCGTGACCCTAGTATCCCATAATACAAGCCTTACAGTGCTTACTTTGGGGCTAGGCTAATTGGTGTGAGGGTTGGAATAATTTATTTATTTATTATTTATTTGTGGTCTTGCGATTCTGTTTGTGTGAAAGGAATCGCACTGGGTAGAGGATTGGATTCAGGCTGGGTGAGGATTGCTAGAGCGCCATATTTTGCCGCACGAGCTAATTTCAATGGGTTTCATTCACATTTATGACAGGTAGGGTAATTAGGAGTAGCTTGATAGCGCAAATGGTTTGCTCGTTTGGCTGCGATTGTTAAAGCTGAGCAACTTTCGCAGTGGTCGGTCATTGAATGGGTGACCAAAATTAAATTACAATCTCGAGCTCCTCCGTGCTTCGAAAGGCACATTAAGCCGTTGGTCCCTGTTGCATCCGCGGTCGTTAGCACCCACCAATCCGCACTGGGCACGCGTGGTCTCTAATTACTGCACCCAATATAAACAAATACCCTAACAACTACATTGTCATACATCAAACTACTAAACTAAAATTTTCCGAAACCCACGAGGCTACCATAAAGTCGCCCCAGTGTTACGACATAATCTACAACCATGGCGTGTTAGTACATACAAACCGTGCGAAAATTTTCTCAATTAGTCACCGCTACCATCACCTTCTCAGTTAGTTAGTACGCGCTAGGAAACTTAACGTTTTCGGAAGCTAGCTACTCGCCACGCCTCCCAAGGCTGCCTGTACAAACACTCACTGGCAAATAAGGCCACGTATAAATGCCTGGGAAACCTCCTCAATGGTATTCAGGGAGACGACATTAGACCGACTGGACGTGCCAAGAGATTAATTAAAATAAGTAATTATGTGTTGGAAACAGTGTTTGTTGGTAGGAGTGGTGTTCGGTGCGGTACAAGCTAAGCTAGCAGTATTCCAACCAGGATATGAAGAATACTATGTGAGAGGAGTGTTATTTTTTTTATTCCCAATTCAGTTTTTGTCCAGACGAAATTATTTGTTATTCTTTTTTCAATCATCTAATGTGCAACTAGTTGACGGAATAGTTTAAATAACTATAATAAATATTTTATATATTTCATTCTTATTACTTAATTTATTAGTTTCAAATCTAGTTAATCTTTGAAATTATTGATAAACATATTTTTTGTTTGTACTACTGTAAAAACACTCATATTTGCTTACACAAATAAGTATTGTTAATTATTAGAAAACAATAATGACAGCCAATCTTTAACCGTGGATATATCTGGAGCGGTGTGGCCGCTCTGCACTATTGCAAATGCTTGCACATCTTTAAAACTTTAGTTACAATGGGATTAAATTAGCAACACAGTCTTTAAGGTTCAATGTTTCAATTTTTTGCATGTTTGAAACCACGCTGATATTTAATTTAATTTCTAAAAAGAAAATTTTATTACAAGTAACTAGGCTTAGATCCAAAAATTGGATCCTACCAGCCGCTGGGCTGACTGGGATTATTCTTCTACTCTCTCTACAAGTTTAATACTTAAAAATAAAATTAATTGAATGTTTTGTTCCAGGATCATCCCAAATACGCTTTCAACTATGGAGTCGCGGATCCCCACACTGGAGATGTCAAATCACAGCACGAGACAAGAGATGGAGATGTAGTTAAGGGTACGTAATCTGTATATATAAATAGCAACCCTTACTGACTGATTGATATCTCGCACAGCTTGAACCACTGAACGGATTGCACTGAAATTTGGCACACATATAGCTACCATGATGTCCCTACGTAAGCGTGCGCTAAGACAGGATTTTCTAAAACTAATATTTAAACTCAGACAAAGTCGCGGGCAACTACTAGTGTAACTATAAAGCTAGCGTCCTGTAAAAATCCGTACCAATCTTTATTTGATTTACATTTCTATAAAATAAATAAAAGTGCATTTAACTAAGTTAAAATAATGACAACATTCATGCATTGTGACTCTATCATTGGAGAGTATTAGGTCTTCTTAGATACAGGCTACGGCCTAGTTCAGATACCAGTATCTCCACAATCCTGTCTTAAAGAAATTAACTCATTAAGTTTGTTTGTATATTTTTATTATTTCTGGACTTGAGCATCTCAAAATAGATGATCGTTATTTCTAGAATTTCGTCGACTCATTTCGTACTGTAAATACTAAAAATATAATATATTTTTGGTCAGCCATCCGATGACCGCTTAGATTAAAGTTGCTTAACTTTCATGATCGCAGACCAACATTAAATGCGCAAACAACTTTGACTTGCACTATCGAGCTATTCAATGTTTTGCATATTTTCTTATCCTCAAACTAGTAGTGTAACTGTGTATCCTTCCTATAAGCGATAAATTTTCTTTAGATTTCTTAACAAAATAATTCAGCCGCCGATAACATTGAAAAGCAAAAAATAATAAATCTTTTTTTATCTTTAGTGAAATTAATATTTGGACTCAGTGCCATGCCAAACCCAAGTAGTAAATGCGAACTCAGATCTTTCAGATTAGCATGGCACCGACTTATTTTGACTAAAGGAAAAAAAACGTTTTTATTTTTTTGCTTTTTAGTATTTTCGGTAGTTTAATTTTTTTTGTTTGTATTTTATATTTTTTGTGGCTTTAATGTTTGTAATAAATGACTCAGCATCAAAATTTGTGAGTAAACAATAGCCCCTATTTTGGTAGGATTTTTGTTTCTAAATCTATGTAGGGCCAACTTTGAAGTGTACAATTCAATAAAAAAAGAGTCATCAAAATTGGACCACTTTGTAAAAAGTTATGCGAGTGAACAATTGATTTTCCCCTGTTTTTCTACTTTCCTACCTTAGGGTCACAATTTTGTTTCCAAATTTATATGGGACTAATTTCGGAGTTTACCCTTTTGAATAAAAAAAAATGGGTGCGTGTACTTATGTAGGCGCGTGAGAAGTTATCCTTCTTTGGCATCGTTTAAAATTAGTTTTTAATTGCATGCAAATAATTAATTACAATAAATTAATAAAAAGTCTGGAAAAGGACACAGTCAATAAAGTTCAGTTTTAATTTGAAAAAATAAATAAATAATCAAAATATTCAATTAAAATCGCTACTGAATATAATTTATTAGAACATTGCACTTGTATGAAACTCAAACACGTATTCCGAATATACAAACTAGAAACATGTGGATAAATATTATAAATATGAATACCTATAACTGTTACTTTATTACAAAAAATAAAGATGTGGTTTTTGGTTCTACTACACCAATGGTCAAGAGATGGCGCTGTAGTCTCCTGAATCGCGCTTTGGTTCCGTTGTTCTAGATTAATAAATACTTTTGATATTATAAATATGAATACCTATAACTGTTACTTTATTACAAAAAATAAAGATGTGGTTTTTGGTTCTACTACACCAATGGTCAAGAGATGGCGCTGTAATCTCCTGAATTGCGCTTTGGTTCCGTTGTTCCAGATTAATAAATACTTTTGATAGGCCTTCACAATGTAGTCGTTAGCACCCACTAAATAGAGATTCTATTTCTATTTTGTTGGTAGATTTTCTTAATGTGCGGTAAACACAAAAGTAACAGCATGAAAATGATGATGAATTCATGCTGTTAATTTTTTGTGTTACAGTAATGCGCGCGCATCTTAAAATTTCACTCTCATAATTTTTTCATAACGCGCCTAAAGAAGTATAACTTCAAAAATAAATTATCAAAATCACACTACTCTGTAAAAAGCAATGCGTAAAAAAATATATACACGTCGAATTGGATACCCCCCTCCGTTATTTTTCGTCAGTTGAAAACAAATACAAAAGCGATATTAACAATGCTTGGTTCCGAGTAACTAATATTTATCATCGGAATCTCAGTTTTTGCGTATTTTCCGCACTCGGTACGTACGCATGGTATTATCCATTGTATCCTTAGTTAGAAATCTACTCTCAGCTGATTATATCTGCTCGTTAGCAAGCCTTGTGTATTGTTTGTAAACTATGCCGCTAGCTACGTTTGTTATCGTATGAACGTTTACAGAAAGCTTACAAAAAGTTAAAACATGCATGTGTAGAAAATTTTAGTTCATTTTGTAATGCGATTCTGCAAATGATCTTTGTTTATTGTATTGTGCTGTCATAGTTGTTTACCAGCATTACATATATAAAGATAAATATAGTAATTACAACAACTTCATGATAGATTCACCCTTTTGCAAAAAACTAATTATAACCGCGTCTCCGTTGGCTTGACGTTCGGTAGGGACAAATTTCAGCTGAATCCACCAAGCTTGTTAGATTTTTGTTTATAAACCGCCAAAATAAAATTGTAAAATGCATACGTCATTATCAAACCAATATCTGTTATGTGCACTTTTTGGAAATTTCGATATTTTTATCAAAGTTACTGTTCTATGGCGCTGAGGAGCTCGATGGCGCAAGTGGTTAGCGCGTCCGGTTGCGATCGTTGAAGTTAAGCAACTATCACAGTGGTCAGTCATTGGATGGGTGACCAAACATTAACTATCTCGAGCTCCTCCGTGCTTCGAAATGCACGTTAAGCCGTTGGTCCCGGCTGCATCTGTGGTCGTTAGCACCCACCAACCCGCACAGGGCCCGCGTGATGGGTCATGGCCCAATCTCCCTATTCCATCCATAGGGAAGGCCTGTGCCCCAACAGTGGGGAAATTAATAGGCTGATGATAATGATGATGATGACTGTTCTATATACTACTACTAACATTACTAATCGGTGAACAGAGCCAGACTATTATCAAATACTAGCAAACCAGTGAACCAAATGTTCACAAAAAAAATGGTTGCCTGTAAAGTCGGTTTTACGGGCGAAGATTTTACGTGACAACGTCTTTTTCTCGGTAGAATATTTATTGATATGAATATAATTAAATTGCACAATAGGAACAAGGAATTGAATGAAAATAAGAATTGCACAAATTTTAACTATAGAAATATATTTTGTTTACTAAAACATTGTACATGTAAACTTAAACTTAACACGAGAGACTCATCGTAACGTTACCGAGCGTTACACTTTTTCATAAGTGACTCCCAGCCGCAACCTAATTTAAGACGTTGTCACGTCAAAAAAAATGTATTTAATTAATTGAGAACTTCGGAGATTTTGTGTGGTTTCGTTTGAAATAGAAATCACGTTATTTCTCGAAAACCGGAAGTGCTACGTTACTCAAATCCGATTTGTAGTCTTATCAGACTATTCTTAACTTATAACTTAAACATTCTCTTTATCTATCTCTTACGGTTTGGCCGGACCACGGACGGACGGACGGACGGACTTGTCTAATAGATAAGAGATTAACTACTGTCTTAAAGTATTTTTTTTTACATGGCAGATATTAGTTTGACAACGACCATATGCGTAAAGACACACAGACTAACATGCCAGACTAACAAATATACATCTTACTCTAATTTACATAGGTTCTTTAGGTAGAATACTCAGGATACTTTACAAAGTTTATGCGATTCATTGATTATTGATTTTAAGTGTGAATACAACTAATATGGCAGAGAAAGGTACAGTTTCAGCAACCCTCACTTTGTTGTCCGGAACCATATTCATACATCTAACTCTAATTTAAATAGGTTTTTTAGGTAGAGTACTTAGGATACTTCACAAAGTTTATGCGATTCATTGATTATTGATTTTAAGTATGAATACAGCTAATATGGCAGAGAAAGGTACAGTTTTAGCCACCCTCACTTTGTTGTGCGGAACCTTATTCACCAACCACAGGGCACCCGGACAAACTTACTCATTAAAGGAGCACAAGATAACATCATAATATTCGATTGAAGACTACTTTACGGTGCAGATTACTTCTCAACACACTGCAATCTACTTCTCCAGAATTACCTGTTTTTTATTAATCTTCTTTGTTTTGTCTTATTTTTTATTATTATTATGTCTTTGATGTTAGTTTGATTTCCCTGTTTTGACGAGGAGAGAAACAATTGAAAACATCAATGTGTGTTTGTTGTTGTCGCACATGTTTGTTTTATTTAGATCTCACCTTTTTTAGCTACAGGAAGGAAAGCGTTCAAATGTTTTCTCATTGTAATACTTTCAAACTTTCAGGCCAGTACTCGTTAGTTGAACCTGACGGCTCAGTCCGCACCGTAGACTACACTGCTGATCCAGTCCGGGGGTTCAACGCCGTTGTATCGAAGACGCGGCCCAGTGTGCACTCGGCCCCAGCCCCCACGCCAGCTCCACAGCCGAAACAATTCATACAGTACGTGCCAAAACCGATACCAGTGCCGGTAGAAGTGCCGAGACAGTATTTCCCGCAACCCTATTCTGGACCGGACCCTTTCCGTGAGTATATCCCTGTTTGATATTTTTATCACGAATTTGTATTCACACTTTTTTCAAATAACCTAAAATTTTCTGCGATAATTCTAAATGACCGACTTTTGATATTTGATTAAAAAGTTACTGTAAAATTGTAAATACAAAAGTTGTAGATCTTTCGATTACCTAGAATTTTGAATTTTAATTTTTTCGATAAGATTTGTAGGGTAGTTTTCCCTAAAAATGCGATAACCCATCCCCTAAAGAGGGTGGGAATCGAGACGACGAATTTGCATTTTCTGAGCAAATCATAACGGTTACAATTACAAATAGATTTATTAGTTTAAGAGTAATAGTCGTTCAACTTATGTATTAGAAAATTTCTAACCAAATAAAAATTACTTCGAAGAAAACATTAAAAGTGACTTAGACGAAGTAATTGCTTAAAATATAGACTCTTTCCAAAATATATTGTGGTGACGACGAGCAACTACGGAACCCTACACTGCGCGTGGCACGACACGCACTTGGCCGGTTTTTTAATATATTTTTTTTCTTTTGGCATGTGTTTCAACTAGTTTCGAATATTCTTCACTTTTTATGATTTTCAAAGGCATTGGCCCTGGTCTACCTTGTCGTTTATGAATATAAAGAAAGGTCATGGAAATAAAACTTTATAATTTAGTGTCGTATTCATTGAGAGATTTTCTGGATTATCAATACCAGTTTATAGATTTCACATATATGAATAATTGTTAAAATATATTTACGTAGACGTACGGACACTCGGCACTAAAATCGATTAACTAGATTTTAAATGACTTTTTTTATTAGTTGCTATTATACTTCTTTTGGCCCGTATGGGGAAAAAAAGTTTCTATTTGTATAATGATTAAATTGTTTAAATCTAAAGAAAATATAACTAGAAAAAATTCCACGCGGACCAGGCAGCAGACGGGACTCGAACCCGCACCCTTCGCAATCCGGGCGAATGCACTGACCAATTATGCTACCGCGGCCCTCACGGACCGCGTCGAAATTCCTTCTAGCTATTCTTAAGCTGCAAGGCAGCGCCATCTCTTCGCATTATAGGTAAACCCACAATGTCAAATGAATACTTTTACAAGTATTAAACATTTGAAAGAAGAAATAGCAATTTTAGTTATAATTTTTATTATTTTTAAAGCATGTAGCTGCTTGATGTTTAAATCTAAAGAAAATATAACTAGAAAAAATTCCACGCGGACCAGGCAGCAGACGGGACTCGAACCCGCACCCTTCGCAATCCGGGCGAATGCACTGACCAATTATGCTACCGCGGCCCTCACGGACCGCGTCGAAATTCCTTCTAGCTATTCTTAAGCTGCAAGGCAGCGCCATTTTCATTTTCTAGTTATATTTTCTTTAGATTTAAACATCAAGCAGCTACATGCTTTAAAAATAATAAAAATTATATGATTAAATTGTTTCTAAAACTCCTAAGGATATTAACTCTTAGTGAAACAGTGTCGCCAGATGACGCTGTTCTATAACAAGAACTTTAAGTTGTTAGATGATGGTAGGATAATCACACTTATCAAAACCATTCGGCTATCGATTCGACTGCCGCTATATTTTCATAATACTTCTTCCCCACTTGCGTGACGAAGCTTAATGTGGCATTGGTTCTATATGCGCTATTTGCGTTCGAAAGAACGTTGTTCTATCGTAATGAATTGTCGGGCCTTGTGTCTATAGACGATAGCCTGACTGGCGATTATTTACACGCAGAAAAGAGATTATGGGAGATATGTGCAGCGGAGCGTACTTACGATGGAACTAGTACATTTTAGTACCAAAGCTTCGTCGCGCAAGTGTGGGAGAAGGATAAGAAGAACTACTTATATAACACGCATGTAAAAGTACCTTCATCATGTTTTTTATTGCACAGCATGTTTTAATTTCATTAATATTGTTCTTTTGGTATTTCAGTGTTCCCGAATGCCGGTCCTCAGATCCCAGACTACGACGGGTTTGACGTTGACGCAGCGTATCCACCACCGCCTGGCACATTCTTTTAGTTTAGTTACTGTGTTAATTTAAATTTGTAATTAAGAGTGTTAATTTAATATTGTACAAATATATTTTATACGCTTCAAACCAACACTCTTTGTTATTATTAAAAACAAATAGTACCTACTCGTAATTAAAATGTCGCCCTAGATTTTATTCTAAACAAATTAAAGTTACAGTAATTTTATAAACTTAATATCTTAAATAGGATATGATACAGGTAAGGTTGGCGTGTTTTTGCAGAAAGGTCTTCATGAAATAAGATAAATAAAGGTGAAAAAATATTATATACGTATGTACTTATAAGATTATAGGTATATTAGCGAAACAGGACGCAAAGATTTTGGCAGTTTTGGTATACACATTGATTTTAATGAAAATAACACAAATACTTAGGTTAAGAGTAATGAATATGATTATATACTATTAAAATATTGCATATGTTATAGTCAACATCGACGCTCCGGTGCTTCTTGGTTTGACTAGTCAAATCTCAGGTGTGACATATACAGTATTAGTGAAACTCGAAATAAATTGTTCTGCCTTTGACTAAAGAATTAGACTAATCTAGGAGGGTTGGAAGTTAAAACTTTGAGACTTAATTTAATAAAATCGGGTTTTGAACAGTCAGATCTCAAATAAGCACTAGAAATATGTTAATTTATTACAATAGGTATAATAAAACGTATTTTAGTTATCTTTAAAGCAAATTTTACTAGAAAAAATTCCACGCGGACCAGACAGTAGACGGGACTCGAACCCAAAACAAACATATTTTTTTAATTGTAGTGCATTTCAATATTATAATAATTGATTGAGGAGTCTGAGGAAGTACCTTTTTTATTCTTATTTTTAACTAGTGGCCCGCCCTCGCTTCGCTTCGGTGTAGAGCTGTAGTGTAAACTATAGTTTTTGTTCACAGGCTTGTGTTATAGACAATGACTATATTTATATAATTACACGTGTTATTGTGAGTCAACCATAAAAGATAGACATATGCTGTTGCGGGATATTTTTTAGATAATTTTATGTAGAATATTTCCGTCATACATGATTTCTATGTAACTTTAACTATTAAAGCTGCACACGCGACGGAAGCTTAAAAAATGGAGTAACTTCTCCCGTTTTCCCAACATTTCCCTTCACTACTCTGCTCCTATTGATTGTAGCGTGATGAAAAGTATACTATAACCTGCCCAGGAGTATGAAGAATAATTGTACCAAGTTTCGTTAAAATCCGTCGAGTAGTTTTTGTTTCTATAAGGAACATACAAACAGACAGACAGACAGAAAGACAGACAAAATGTTTACTGATTGCATTTTTGGCATCAGTATCGATCACTAATCATCCCCTGATAGTTATTTTGAAAATATATTTCATGTACAGAATTGACCTCTCTACAGATTTATTATAAGTATAGATTATGATGAGTATTTCAAAAATATAGTAGTATATATGACATGGTATGAGAAGGTGATGCGTTATGGCATTTCAAAGTACATAAATAATACGATTGATTTTTTACATTTGCATAATTTAAGATCAATTTAAGGGTTCCGTACCCAAAAGGTAAAAACTACACCCTATTACTAAGTCTCCACTGTCTGTCTCTCGGTTTGTCCGTCTGTTTACCTGTCTGTCTCCATGTTCATCATGAACCGTGATAGACGGTTAAAATTGTCACAGATGATGTATTTCTGTTGCCGCTATTGCTACAAAAAACACAAAAAATATAATAGAATAAATGTTTGAGGGGAGATCCCATTCCATAAACGTGAATTTTTGCTAGATATTATAATTACTTATAGTTGTATAGATAATGGTACGGAACTGTTCGTGTGCGAGTCCGACTCGCACTTGGCCGGTTTTTTATTACAATGGAATGGAAGCCTTGACAACTAAACTTAGAATATATTTAGCTTATATAGGCTGTAGGTACGTTAGACACATATTTGAAATAAATAATTTCTCTTTGCGTTCTTGTATCTGATTTCTAGAAAGAAGTGTGTTTATTTATTCCGTTTTTCATTCCTACAGTCAGCTGATTTTTCCATTATGATACCTAAAACATTTCGTGTATCTAGGATCAACTAGGCAAAGTCCGATACAGATTATTTTACATTTGACTAACAAGTTAGGTACTTCTATATTTGACTAAAACTACTTTAGTCATAGGCCAAATTGAAATTTATTTCGGGGTTTGCCGAAAACCCTAAGGCAAACCTAGGATAAAAGAGTCATTCCGAGATAAGACCGCGTATCACCCTTTGACTATTACATAAATTTAAACTATATCATCCACTATCACGTTCACGGTTTTTTTATTAAGAACTCAATTCACTTAATTGTAAAGTATAAGTGATAAATTAAAACACTGAATTTACGACACGCAAATTGCTTTTAATCATGATTTAAAAAAAAATATTTTCAAAGGCAAGACAACGCTCTCATATTCGAAGTCTGATTTAAACCAAAAAAATGGTCTTGTTTAATAAACGTATTATACATAAATTTAGCAGATAGTGTAAACTCTCTTGCTAATACACAAAAGAAGTTATTTAATTATATAATTACTCCAGTTTACTTCCCAAGTTTTGTTTTTTTGAATTCTCTATCGCCTACTTTAGGGTTAGCTGCAAAATTTGTGTAAAGTGTTTTTGCTCCTACAAACAATATCGACCTGCGATGAAATGTAGCCAATATATGATGGAATATTATCAAAAAAAATATAGATAAATATATTATTTGTAGGTAAAAAACAACTTAAAGGGAGGTAGGACATAGCGAATTTTTTGCTCAAATCGAAGCGCCCGCTTAGGGAACTAACCACCACGTTACAGAAGACCACAGTAAAATAACACTATCTATCTTTTGGTGGTGTTGTGTTTCTGACGGTGAAAATATTTCAGGGATCCACGGGGTAGGGGATTAGGTCAGGGTAGGCAACGGTGTGAGTGAAATTTTTGGTATCTCTAGCGTCTATAGGCTAGGTGGTCGCTTTCCATTAGGCAGGCCATACAATTGTTGCCACCCTTTTAACATAAAAAAATGTGTACGTGTACTAGTGTACACACGTAAGAAGTGAAACTTCTTTATGGCCTTATTTTTCGAAAAATGATCTACATGCAACTTTCCAGAAATTGGTTAAATAAAGTTAAATTAGATAAAGTTTAAACAAAAGGATTTTATTATCATAGACATGAATACAAATTACTGCCTATGAAACTGTTATGTTTACACGGCTCAGTAATCTAAGGCACATGTTCCACCTCCGACGATAAACGATAAGCGAGTAGAAACTAGAAACGAATTGGCAGTCCTGAGTTAAAATGCACGCGCACGGCTTTTGACAGCCAAGCCAGCTTAACCGAGCGAGTATCGCAAAGTAGGCGATAGAGAATTCAAAAAAACAAAACTTGGGAAGTAAACTGGAGTAATTATATAATTAAATAACTTCTTTTGTGTATTAGCAAGAGAGTTTACACTATCTGCTAAATTTATGTATAATACGTTTATTAAACAAGACCATTTTTTTGGTTTAAATCAGACTTCGAATATGAGAGCGTTGTCTTGCCTTTGAAAATATTTTTTTTTAAATCATGATTAAAAGCAATTTGCGTGTCGTAAATTCAGTGTTTTAATTTATCACTTATACTTTACAATTAAGTGAATTGAGTTCTTAATAAAAAATCCGTGAACGTGATAGTGGATGATATAGTTTAAATTTATGTAATAGTCAAAGGGTGATACGCGGTCTTATCTGGGAATGACTCTTTTATCCTAGGTTTGCCCAAGGGTTTTCGGCAAACCCCGAAATAAATTTCAATTTGGCCTATGACTAAAGTAATTTTAGGCAAATATAGAAGTACCTAACTTGTTAGTCAAATGTAAAATAATCTGTATCGGACTTTGCCTAGTTGATCCTAGATACACGAAATGTTTTAGGTATCATAATGGAAAAATCAGCTGATAGTTAATACAGAGTAGGAATGAAAAACGGAATAAATAAACACACTTCTTTCTAGAAATCAGATACAAGAACGCAAAGAGAAATTATTTATTTCAAATATGTGTCTAACGTACCTAAAGCCTATATAAGCTAAATATATTCTAAGTTTAGTTGTCAAGGCTTCCATTCCATTGTAATAAAAAAACCGGCCAAGTGCGAGTCGGACTCGCACACGAACAGTTCCGTTATCTATACAACTATAAGTAATTATAATATCTAGCAAAAGTTCACGTTTATTGAATGGGATAAACAACAAACAACCCTGAAACATTCTCATCATCAACCCATGTTCGTCCACTGCTGGACATAGGTCTCCCCTAATGCACGCCACTGCTCCCGATTTTGTGCTACTCTCATCCAGCCCACTCCAGCCAGCCTACGAATATCATCATCCCATCTTGTCTCAGGGCGTCCTACACTACGTTTACCGAGTCGCGGTCTCCACTCAAGAACTTTCCGACTCCAACGTCCATCAGTTCTGCGGCTAATGTGACCAGCCCACTGCCACTTCAGTTTGCTAATTCGGTGGGCTATGTCGGTGACTTTGGTTCTCTGTCGGATTACATCATTTCTGATGCGGTCCTTCAGGGATACTCCGAGCATAGCCCTTTCCATAGCTCTCTGAGCGACTTTAAACTGGTGGACTCGTCCAGCCGTGAGTGTCCACGTCTCGGCGCCGTATGTCATAATTGGGAGGACGCACTGGTCGAAGACTTTCGACTTGAGACATTGAGGGATGGGTGACGAGAAGACTTGACGAAGCTTACGAAATGCTGCCCAGCCTAACTGAATTCTTCTATTGGCTTCTCTCTCGAAGTTGTTTCTGCCTAATTGGAGCGTTTGTCCTAGATAGACATATTCATGAACAACCTCAAGAGGTACTCCATTAACAGCAACCAGTCCCGGATCAACGAGCTCGTTGAACATGACCTTGGTTTTATCCAAGTTCATCCGGAGACCGATGCGTTTGGAAGATTCAGCCAGGCTGCTCACCATCACCTGTAGCTCTTGCAGGGTTTCAGCCAGGATGACGATGTCGTCCGCGAATCGGAGGTGTGAGATGTATTCGCCATTAATATTA